CCCCCGCTATATATATACCTTAGCTGGCGCTTGGCGTGTGTACGTTTGTATTTCGTTCTTTTCAACTGTTGTTGAGAATTTGTGTTTCCTAGCCAAACCGTCAAGCACCATTGTGTGTTTACTTGGTGTCCTGCCCACCGCGTCCCACGGCCTCGCCGCGGTACGGTACACGCGCCGCAGACACAAGCAAGCACTGGCCGGACCTCTGGGGGATTCGACGTAGTGGTGTTCCCATCACAATAGTTGATGAAATGGAACAGCTCAGCCGTACTCCAAGTTGCTTACGCTCCAGTTGGTTTCCGGGAACGGAGTCCCTTAGGGCATGGGGCTGGACCGGGGTGGGGGTGGGGTGCGGGGGATCGGGACGCTCCCTGCGCTAATCTAGGGTAGGTCCCGACTGGTCCCGACCCCGGCCCGGAAGCAACTAGCAGCCTATGTCCGGGCCCAGATGCGCGACCCAGACCCGGATCTGGGATGGAACAGGGAGTGCTCGGCGCAGCAGGGCGGGGGATTGCAGCTCGAACGGTCTGGGGGGTCACGACTGATAACCCGCAGTGTGTGTAGGCAGTATCTCTCCCTTTCTCTCGGGCGCGTTATCCGACGCCCATGTGGTCCTGTAGTATACGACGTGTAAATAAGAAAGAAAGAGGCTGTGGGTAAACATTGTGTCTGTGTCGCGTCACCGGTGGTCGGTCGGCGGCACCGCCAGGTTGTGAGCGCACGGGGAGGGGGAGGGGGGGGGGCGAAGTGTAGGGTCAACACCAGCGTCCACTATGAGCACTGCGGACCAAGAGAGTATGCCAACCCGCAACACTGGGGTTCACTCTCTGAACAGCGCCCGGCTAGTATACACACCGCTAACGCCCATGGCTTCTCTCCCGTCCGCAGGGGGTGCTGGAGGGGCTGGTGGATCGCGGCCACGAGGTGGTGCTGTTCAGCCACTTCCCCAACAAGAGGCCGCGCGCCAACTGGACGGACGTGGACACGTCTCGCGGCCGCCCGTCCATGGTCAGCACCTACTCGTTCGACATGGTGACGGCGCCCAAGTGGGGGCTGCCCGGCTACAACGAGAGGAACAGCATGGCCATCCTGAGCACGATCGCCGGGGAAGGCCTCTGCCGCGACGTGTTCACGCTGCCCGACTTCGACCACCTCATGAAGGGCGGCTTCGGCCGCTTCGACCTCGTCCTCACGGAGGTGTTCGGCTCGGACTGCTTTGCCGCCGTGCCCTACAAGCTGGGCCTGCCGGTCGTGAGCTTGTCCTCGGCGCCCGACGTCTCTTGGCTGCACGAGCGGATCGGCTCCGTGGACAACCCGTCGTACATCGCCAACGTCTTCGGCGACTACCGGGGCAGGATGACCCTGTGGGAACGGATGCACAACGCCTTCTCTGGGCTGTACCTAAACCACTTGTTTAAGGTGAGTATACTGGTGGCTGGCGCCCAAGAGATCGCCCACTCTGTACGTCCGTCAGTAACATAGCGATAGATCTGATAGCGCCTGATAGGTAGGCAACATATTGCTCGCAGTGCATATGCATGTGCTGCAGGCTAGCCTACCTCAAGGCTTGCAGGCGCCGACCGAAATTTACAGAATGAATCTGATGAAATTGTAAAGTGAAACCGTCATACTCTTCGAACGATCCCTTACGGCCCAAGCGAGTATGCAGCCCACCCGCAGGCGTGCATACGGCACAATCTACTTAAGTGAGGGTGGCGATTCGGCCCACCTATTATCACAGAACACTCGATGTTTCGAGTATTCTCTATTAGTTGTAGGAGCTAACATAAGAGATCATTCAGACAGTACGTCCGTCATGGACCTATCAAGTGCAGCCTCTGCCAGCTCTCCTAGCGCCTGGTATGTAGGCAACATCTTGCTCGCAGTGCCAGCGAGAAATGCGGGGTGGCCTACCCCGAGGCTTGCAGGCGCCGAGCTGCCGTACTTTTCCCAACGAATCTAAAGAAAACGGACGTACTTTCTAAACGATCCCATACGTCACTCCTGCTGCCTGGCATGACGTTGTGTGTATTCTTTCAGTACTACATGCAGGACGGCTGCGACCCGCTGGTGCGCGAGTTCTTCGGGCCGGGGGTGCCGCCGCTGCGCGAGCTGGTGCGCAACACGAGCCTCGTGCTGCTCAACCGCCACGTGAGCATCCACGCGGCGCGGCCCGTCGTGCCCAACCTGGTGCTGGTGGGCGGGCTGCACGTGCGGGAGCCGCCGGGCGCCCTGGACGCGGACACGCGCGCCTGGATGGACGGCGCGCAGCACGGCGTCGTCTTCTTCTCGCTCGGCTCGCTCATCCGGGCCGCCACCATGCCGGCGCGCATCCGCGACGCGCTGCTGGGCGCGTTCGCCGAGCTGCCGCAGCGCGTGCTCTGGAAGTACGAGGACGACGGGCTGGTGCTGCCGCCCAACGTGCGCGTCGCCAAGTGGCTGCCGCAGCTCGACATCCTGAGTAAGGGACCCACCTCGAGCGCGACCGTTTCCTCGACACCCAAAAAGGGGGTTCTTTAATCGAGTAGTAAACATCCTGGTAACACGTCAATTTCCCAGACCTCATCTCGCCAATGTACTTGTTCCAAGGATATTTCCTTGATTCGAGAACCTTCTTCCTCGGGTGCACCTATGTTAGCGATACGTTCCTAGCTCCATCCTTGTTGTCCGCAGCGCACCCTAAGACCGTGCTCTTCATGACGCACGGCGGGCTGATGGGCACCCTGGAGGCGCTGCACTCGAGCGTGCCCATGCTCGGCCTGCCGCTCTTCGCCGACCAGATGTCCAACATGCATCTCTACAAGTCGCTGGGCATCGCGGACCAGCTGGACCCGCACGACCACGCCGCCATGACGAAGGCCGTCGTACTGGCCAAGCTGAGGAACATGACGGGCGACGCTGGGTGAGTGCATGGCGGGTTGGGTTGTTGGGGGCGGGGCGGGGGCGGGACGGGGCCAGGCCTCTGAGCCCACAGATCCCCCATTCGGGTTCGCAATTTCACTTGCGGCCGTGCCGCGCGGCCCAGACATCGAAAACTGTCGCGAGGCACGAGCGCACAATAACTCTGGGGCCCCCGAGTCCCCCCTTAAGCCTCCCCAAATAAACATGGCGGTAGGGGCGGGCCGCCCTCCTCGGCAGCGGGGCTCCAGCCTCGGCCCCGGGCCGCGCCCAGCGCCCTTCGAAGGGCCGCGCCATTTCTCTGCCGTCGCGCACGCGTTGCCATTTCTCATACCGCTCCGTTGCAGGTACCGCGAGCGGGCGCGGGAGATTGCGTCCCTGTTCCGCGACCGGCCGCGGCGCGCGCTGGACGAGGCCGTGTGGTGGATCGAGTACGTGGTGCGCCACCGCGGCGCCCCGCACCTGCGGCCCCTCGGCGCCGACCTGCCGCTCTACCAGTACCTCCTGCTGGACGTCGCCGCCGTCGTCCTCGCCGCCGCCGTCCTGGTGGGCTCTCTGATCGCGCTGGCCGTGCGACGGGCACTGCAGGGAGCGACGTGGAGCTCGCCGACGAAGATGAAGTTGAAGTGACCCGGAAGGAGAGGGGTGTGTGAGAATATCGAATACATTTTTAAATAGGCTGGTTCGGGAATTGGTTGCGCATCTTGTAATGTCTGTGATATTCCTTCTAGGACAGATTTTAGTTTTCTGTACCGTATTTTATTTACCTGTGCTACAAGGTGTACTCTAGTTGCGGAGTACTGTACTACAGCTCATATCTGTGATAACCTGACATGCTTTAACAATTAAATAAAACGGGCAGGCCACTTGCCTTTACTCGGCTCAATATTATCTTTCTGTGTCTGTGGCTGAGAGGAGCCTTCGTCATTTCTCCTGTGCACTCGAAAACATCTGGGTATCTTTATAAAGGGAAATCGAGGAATCGGGGTGATTCACGCTCAGCATCACGTACGGATAGGTGAAATACTAATTGTGAATTTACGTGGAATCTAATCTTATCACATCTTGTCATATCATTCCATTCTGTCCCTAGTTAATTCAAGATAGAAGGAGACGGCGGCAGAGGAGCGTTCCCGCAAACTTGATTGTACACTCTTGCACTTGCACCCGTCAGCCTGCGGGCCGGGCCGGGCCGGGCTAATAGCTGGTCGGCGCCCTCACGCGAGGTCCCTCCCGCCGCGGCTCGTGCAGCCGGGTGGTGAGATAACGCCAGCATCTCGTATCTCTTGAACCTGCGCTGTAGTCGATCCTTGGTGTTCAGGAAATCGGCAGAGGAGAGGTGCTTGTGGGTCGGTTTCCTTTTTCCTCGAACAGCACGGAATCTCTTTAGAAGTGCCGTTGCCCCCCGCTCGCAGTGCAGTGCAGTGCACATCGAGTGGTATATATATGAAACGCGGAAAGCAAAACGCTCGTACACGTCAGGGTCGCAACTTGCGGTGTAAGCCCCTAGCGGAACGCATGTAGGAGGCTTGTCGCCTGCCTGCCTCCCCGCCCGGCGGGGCCCGCCCGGGCCGTGCGCCGTAAGTCGTTCTCCTTGACTAACTCACTCACTTAGCGGCTTACTCGCGGCCCGCCCCGCCTGCGTGCCTCGCGCAGGCGCCCGACTCGGCGCCCCCGCCGGATGGGAGGCCTACTTCCCAGGCGCCGCGCCGAGGCGCGCGGTCGCGTCGCGAGTCGTAAGTAACAACCGAAATTGTTGTTGGCTGAGTGATAGCAGAGCCCGTTATACTCCAGAGACCGAAATAAACTTTTACCGTCTGTCTGCACTCTACACTACTTCAACTGAAATGGCTCAAAAAAATAATAATTGGTCGACTCGGGGAGAAAAACGTATGTCTAACGGTAAAACAACGCACCGAAATGCGAGATGAGCTCGGGGTCAGCTCAAGTTGTTTGTGGAGGTGGAAGTACCAAACTCGCTTTTCCGCTCAGGCGCTTTGAAAACCCGTCGCAGAGAGTTGGTGTTACGAATCTTCTCCTGGTCACGCCCAGGCTGTGGCTCTCGTCCCCGCGGGTCGGGTCAGCCCCCAACCTTTCCTTACCCGCACTGACCCTACTTGCCCTACTTCATTATTCCTTCCGATTTCCCGGGACGACTTCTGTCCTCCTGTTTTACGTTTTCGGCTGCGACGTGGAGGTGGTGGCCCCGGCGCCCGGGCCGCCCCGGTTATCGGCGACTCCCCGCCACCAGCCCATCCCCACCTGTTCTGCATGCCCCAGCCCCGCCCCCACAC